GGTGTTCCCGCTCTAAAGTAAAAACCATTCGCTGATACAAATTTAAAAAAAAGAATTCCCTTACAAGCAATAGCTGAAGTGTCCTTCTATTTGGAAAATTAAGTAGAAAAGTGGCCGAAAATCTAGGTGCTCTATTTTATTTTTTCAGCTTATTCAAAGCCTCCATGCATCTTGTATGGTCCGTCTACCACTTCCCGCTCTAAAGTAAAAACCATTCGCTGATACAAATTTAAAAAAAAGAATTCCCTTACAAGCAATAGCTGAAGTGTCCTTCTATTTGGAAAATTAAGTAGAAAAGTGGCCGAAAATCTAGGTGCTCTATTTTATTTTTTCAGCTTATTCAAAGCCTCCATGCATCTTGTATGGTCCGTCTACCACTTCCCGCTCTAAAGTAAAAACCATTCGCTGATACAAATTTAAAAAAAAGAATTCCCTTACAAGCAATAGCTGAAGTGTCCTTCTATTTGGAAAATTAAGTAGAAAAGTGGCCGAAAATCTAGGTGCTCTATTTTATTTTTTCAGCTTATTCAAAGCCTCCATGCATCTTGTATGGTCCGTCTACCACTTCCCGCTCTAAAGTAAAAACCATTCGCTGATACAAATTTAAAAAAAAGAATTCCCTTACAAGCAATAGCTGAAGTGTCCTTCTATTTGGAAAATTAAGTAGAAAAGTGGCCGAAAATCTAGGTGCTCTATTTTATTTTTTCAGCTTATTCAAAGCCTCCATGCATCTTGTATGGTCCGTCTACCACTTCCCGCTCTAAAGTAAAAACCATTCGCTGATACAAATTTAAAAAAAAGAATTCCCTTACAAGCAATAGCTGAAGTGTCCTTCTATTTGGAAAATTAAGTAGAAAAGTGGCCGAAAATCTAGGTGCTCTATTTTATTTTTTCAGCTTATTCAAAGCCTCCATGCATCTTGTATGGTCCGTCTACCACTTCCCGCTCTAAAGTAAAAACCATTCGCTGATACAAATTTAAAAAAAAGAATTCCCTTACAAGCAATAGCTGAAGTGTCCTTCTATTTGGAAAATTAAGTAGAAAAGTGGCCGAAAATCTAGGTGCTCTATTTTATTTTTTCAGCTTATTCAAAGCCTCCATGCATCTTGTATGGTCCGTCTACCACTTCCCGCTCTAAAGTAAAAACCATTCGCTGATACAAATTAAAAAAAAAAAAAATTCCCTTACAAGCAATAGCTGAAGTGTCCTTCTATTTGGAAAATTAAGTAGAAAAGTGGCCGAAAATCTAGGTGCTCTATTTTATTTTTTCAGCTTATTCAAAGCCTCCATGCATCTTGTATGGTCCGTCTACCACTTCCCGCTCTAAAGTAAAAACCATTCGCTGATACAAATTTAAAAAAAAGAATTCCCTTACAAGCAATAGCTGAAGTGTCCTTCTATTTGGAAAATTAAGTAGAAAAGTGGCCGAAAATCTAGGTGCTCTATTTTATTTTTTCAGCTTATTCAAAGCCTCCATGCATCTTGTATGGTCCGTCTACCACTTCCCGCTCTAAAGTAAAAACCATTCGCTGATACAAATTAAAAAAAAAAAAAATTCACTTACAAGCAATAGCTGAAGTGTCCTTCTATTTGGAAAATTAAGTAGAAAAGTGGCCGAAAATCTAGGTGCTCTATTTTATTTTTTCAGCTTATTCAAAGCCTCCATGCATCTTGTATGGTCCGTCTACCACTTCCCGCTCTAAAGTAAAAACCATTCGCTGATACAAATTTAAAAAAAAGAATTCCCTTACAAGCAATAGCTGAAGTGTCCTTCTATTTGGAAAATTAAGTAGAAAAGTGGCCGAAAATCTAGGTGCTCTATTTTATTTTTTCAGCTTATTCAAAGCCTCCATGCATCTTGTATGGTCCGTCTACCACTTCCCGCTCTAAAGTAAAAACCATTCGCTGATACAAATTTAAAAAAAAGAATTCCCTTACAAGCAATAGCTGAAGTGTCCTTCTATTTGGAAAATTAAGTAGAAAAGTGGCCGAAAATCTAGGTGCTCTATTTTATTTTTTCAGCTTATTCAAAGCCTCCATGCATCTTGTATGGTCCGTCTACCACTTCCCGCTCTAAAGTAAAAACCATTCGCTGATACAAATTTAAAAAAAAGAATTCCCTTACAAGCAATAGCTGAAGTGTCCTTCTATTTGGAAAATTAAGTAGAAAAGTGGCCGAAAATCTAGGTGCTCTATTTTATTTTTTCAGCTTATTCAAAGCCTCCACGCATCTTGTATGGTCCGTCTACCACTTCCCGCTCTAAAGTAAAAACCATTCGCTGATACAAATTTAAAAAAAAGAATTCCCTTACAAGCAATAGCTGAAGTGTCCTTCTATTTGGAAAATTAAGTAGAAAAGTGGCCGAAAATCTAGGTGCTCTATTTTATTTTTTCAGCTTATTCAAAGCCTCCATGCATCTTGTATGGTCCGTCTACCACTTCCCGCTCTAAAGTAAAAACCATTCGCTGATACAAATTTAAAAAAAAGAATTCCCTTACAAGCAATAGCTGAAGTGTCCTTCTATTTGGAAAATTAAGTAGAAAAGTGGCCGAAAATCTAGGTGCTCTATTTTATTTTTTCAGCTTAGTCAAAGCCTCCACACATCTTGTATGGTCCGTCTTTGGCCTCACTAATCTTGAGACCATGGGATCTCATGGGGAGTTGTCTTCAGCCGTAGTTGGTGTTCTGTACGTCTTGTTCTTGATTCTCTCAGTTATTATGTTGGTAAACATGCTTGTTGCATTGCTCACAAACACCTACCAGAAGGTCGAGGTATGCCATTCTTTTGGTTGTTTCAGAAGCAACATTTTTAATTTCTTTGATATTGCCTAATTGGTTGTGTTAATTTCAGTGTAACTGTCTCTTTGTCGCATATCATAAAGTGAAGTAATCTCAAGAAAAATAAAAGTTGCTTTGGAGTATTACAGGATGCTTGAACAAGACATTTTTTTTTTTTGCAGTACTTCGATGCATTAATTTACTCGTATTATTTTTATAGTAAACTTTCTTATTATTCTTTAGCGTTAAACTTTGAAGACCTTGTATTTCCTTTGTCAAGATACTTAAAGTAAGATATAGACTACCCAAACCACACTATGTAGTTAGGGTTAGTGATCTTTTTTCCTAAAAAGAGAATTGTGGCTTGCAAGATTTTCTTAAACGATGTTTAAATAATTATTCTATACTAATCATCGCCCACTTAACATTTGATTCGAATTCGAGTACTCTGATCTTTTCTCCTAAAATTGAAGGAGATTAACTATAGAATGCGTGTCGCTTTCTTTTCAGACTAATGCTGACGTAGAATGGAAGTTTTCACGTGCAGTGGTAGCAGATGAGTACAGAAGATTTCATCCTATTGTAGCTCCCTTCAATATAATTTCTCTTCCTCTTTGCCACTGCTATATCAAGAGATGTGGTGATCGCCGAGCAAAGGTTTGAACGAAGAAAAGCCAAATGTTTGCCTCGCCTTTTTAATAAGCCAAGGCATTTAGGGTGTTTATAGAAAGCATCAAGATGTTTATCAATGAAATAACTCAAGGTTTAGATATAGACTCCTGTGGGGAGGGGTGTGGAGGCTAAGCGACTACTCTTCGAACTGAGATCACGTGAACTTCGTTCGCTTATTATGAATAATTTTTTACACAAACTAATGCTAAAAGGATCAACTTACTTTTCCACATCTTCTAAACTGACTTTTACGCTATCCTCTTAATTCTAATTCTTAAGGTTGCCATTTCTCTTTATGGACCACCAGATCAAAATACAAAACAACTTCACTTCGACAATATTACCTTTTAACTTACTTTCCAAAATGCAAATGATCAGGAAGGGTCTTTAAGTACACCGTCTACGTAAAGTAGGAGATTCGAGTCTCGTTGAAACTATGGCGAGATGGTTCACCTGAGTATCAAATTTGCCCCTTTTTTGCTGATGTTCCTCACTTCTAGAATGTAACCACGTATCTTCTCTCTTCCTCAGTAAGGCGTCGTTATTACCAGTCTTCCATACGTAGTTGCACAAGTTCAAAATGAAGATCGTAATGCTTGTGGATTCCAGTCAATAACTGCTTTAAACTTTGCGGGAAAGCTAATCGGAGATTTATTTTCAAAACATGAGTAAAACTTTTGTGGTTTTGTCTCTGACTTCAGATGGCTGAAGATCGACGCAAATATTATAACGAGTTTTATAATAAACAACTTTTCCCTGCCATCAAGAAGCGCTACCAGGAAAAACACGGCCTTTCGTTTCCAATGTCAAGTAAGTAAGGGAACGAGGAAAGAGAAATCCCTTCCTAAATAAATATAGATGCTGTCAGGACTGAAGGCATCTTTAAATTTTCTTTTCAAACATTTATTCTATTTAAGTATGATTACTTGGGGTCAGGGTTTCCCTCGCATACAGAATTTATTAAAACTGAATCATTGGATAATGCAATTCAAGACTTTTTATTGGTATAGCCATTATGGTATATGAGCCAATATACCATAATCTACAAATATGGTAAGCGTACGCGTCAGCTTAAAATTAAAAATTAACGTTTTTAATAAAACAATTATTCCACTCGCGCTTGTTGGATATGAGATGATTATAACCATCCAATGCGCGCTCGTGTTGGATATGAGANTTATAACCAATCAACAATTGGAGTAAATGGCTATGGGCAAAATCCCATAGCCGCATTTATTTAAAATTACTGTTCAATCAAATCCTTGATACAAAGTTTGGCCCAGTAAAGGTGAGGGCACTGAAAACGCCAAAAATTACATTATAATGAGCTGAAAATGAGGAGTGGCTGGGACAAGGGGAGGAGGAGGGATGAAAAACCACGTCTTTAACCACCATCAAGATGGAACGGAGTGACGCTCACATGGGAGCCTGGTCACTTGGCAAGCACAAGTATCCTAAAGGGTATTGGGTATAATCCAAATAAATGCCACCCCAAGTCCCAGGCCCCCAAAGGAAATAAAAAGTACACAACGGGGAGAAGAAGCATAAAAATTCTATTTGCAAGCAAATATTTCCTTTATGCCTTTTCTCCCTTATAAATTATATGAACAACCCAAATATGCTGCCTTGCCTGAGCTATGTTTACTGGGAAAAATTATAACCAATCAACAATTGGAGTAAATGGCTATGGGCAAAATCCCATAGCCGCATTTATTTAAAATTACTGTTCAATCAAATCCTTGATACAAAGTTTGGCCCAGTAAAGGTGAGGGCACTGAAAACGCCAAAAATTACATTATAATGAGCTGAAAATGAGGAGTGGCTGGGACAAGGGGAGGAGGAGGGATGAAAAACCACGTCTTTAACCACCATCAAGATGGAACGGAGTGACGCTCACATGGGAGCCTGGTCACTTGGCAAGCACAAGTATCCTAAAGGGTATTGGGTATAATCCAAATAAATGCCACCCCAAGTCCCAGGCCCCCAAAGGAAATAAAAAGTACACAACGGGGAGAAGAAGCATAAAAATTCTATTTGCAAGCAAATATTTCCTTTATGCCTTTTCTCCCTTATAAATTATATGAACAACCCAAATATGCTGCCTTGCCTGAGCTATGTTTACTGGGAAAAATTATAACCAATCAACAATTGGAGTAAATGGCTATGGGCAAAATCCCATAGCCGCATTTATTTAAAATTACTGTTCAATCAAATCCTTGATACAAAGTTTGGCCCAGTAAAGGTGAGGGCACTGAAAACGCCAAAAATTACATTATAATGAGCTGAAAATGAGGAGTGGCTGGGACAAGGGGAGGAGGAGGGATGAAAAACCACGTCTTTAACCACCATCAAGATGGAACGGAGTGACGCTCACATGGGAGCCTGGTCACTTGGCAAGCACAAGTATCCTAAAGGGTATTGGGTATAATCCAAATAAATGCCACCCCAAGTCCCAGGCCCCCAAAGGAAATAAAAAGTACACAACGGGGAGAAGAAGCATAAAAATTCTATTTGCAAGCAAATATTTCCTTTATTTTATTTCCAATACATCTTATTAACGTGTGTAGACTCCGTGTCAGGTCCAAACAACAGATGTTTCCCAAAGAGAGCACACGTGCTACCAGTCCGCAATTTGACCAGCGAGAGACGATGATTTTGTGATTATGTGGAAGCATCTGAGATTCAAGAGTGATTTTCACGAAGGAGGATTCTTGATGCAACTAGTATCTTGAACATGTTTAGGTTAAAAAGTGATCACCGACGAAACTAGTCGTGTATCTCTAATTGTATTGTGTGTCATAACTGTAATAGTGTCATTTTTGATCTTTCAAACCTTTTTAAGATTTTTCAAACCTAGAAAAGACCCTTTAAAATAACCCGAAAACTTCGGGAGTTAAAACGAGTTGTTTCCTTTTGCTTTCTTTAATAAACAATACACGTGTGATTTGTACCTCGGAAGAGTCTTGGAAGCGTTTTCGGAACTTCTGAAAAGAATTCTTCAAGCCTTGTATGTAAGAACGAGCATTTTCGAACTGAATGGGATTTTGAGGCTGTTGTCAATTAGTGGAGAGTCAGATGAAATGAAATATTTTGTCATCTTTTTTTAATACAATGCTATTAGTATTAAAACAATTATCGCGAATGTGGTTTGTTATCTTAGGTAAATAAGTATCACTGTAATGCATGCTAAGAAAAACTCAGTGATACAAGTATAAAGGAACATTTGTTGAAGATATTATTTCACCAGCAGGTGTAATCATGGCAAAGGAAGGGGAGAAAAGAACGTTCTTCAGATTCTATAGAAACCTTCGCACGACAGAGCTGAATAACGTATGCCACGCGCCAGGTTTTGGTGCGGAAACACGGATTTTTGAGTCGTTTGCACAGTTAATTTCTATTCTGTTGTTTCGAGGCGTTCTTTTCCTTGCCGCTTTTCTTTTGCAGAACAACTTCCAAAAACTTTGTACAGCGCCTAGATATTTTCGAAAATTTATTTTCTCTTTAAAAACTTCGGAAATAGGAAAATGCCTTCGACCACAAGAAAATGCCTAGTTTTTAAATATCAGCTCCTTATTGTTTCGCAAATTCGCTAAATTTCAAACCTCGCACGCTTGAGCCCGCGTTGTTGACCGCATACCTTTGACGTTATTCAGCTTTGTCCCTTCCCACGTGGATTCGCACGTGTATACTGAGACGAAAGCTTTGGTTAATAAGAACGCACATACGCCACACGTTTGCAAAACAAATCTTGAAATTTAGTGGCCGCTGTTAGATATTTTAATGAGCTCACTCATCAGTTTACAAAAATTGTTCTTTTATTACCATGACCAGTAAAATTTCCACCTGATACATCGTTACGGTATATAGAAGCTGAAGGCTGATTTTCAAACTTGAAAATAAATATACGTCCTAGAGTTGGTTCAATATGGCAAATTGAACTCCCTTTCGTTTGATCATATTACGAAGAGTGACTTGAATTTCGCTATAAGAATTTTGGGCATTAGTAACACAATCGCCTGCTGCCTGACTGTCATCTGGACGAAGCAAAACGGATCGGATAGTTAATTTCGCCGTATGGGTAAGAGTTTCAGTTCCTCGCTGCCATAGATCGACCTGATAATGGATGAGCGATCAAAATGACGTTACTTAATAACTATTCACCGAAGAATCGATGAGTGGTCGATATTTACCTGACCACGAGGCAGCGAGGTAAATATTCCCCAGTTAGATAATATGGCACAAAAAGATGATTTATTCTTGCAATGATTACGATATTTTCGGGTGCAAATCCCGCGAGTTTCTCAGAGGCAAATAGCAAAGGATATTCAGAGTTAGAGTAGCCAATTAGAGCGCTTTTAACGCCATCCACTGTTTTAGTTTATTCTAGATCATGATACACAGCAGCAAGGCTAAATGAAGTCTAGCTACTTGTTTTATGAAACGACTAAAGTAAATGAAAAATCGACATAGTAGAACCCCCTCCCCCTTTGTGATGTGATTAGGGACCTTAAGAAAGCACGACGGCGACAGCAACGAGGACGTGGAAAAACGAGAGATCTAATCGGCAGAACAATAGCTCAGCACGTCCGTTTTGAAACTTTGTACATTTCTTAGCCGTCCTATGCAAAACAACAACGTGAAATCGCCAAAATTTGCGTCGTCTGCGAACCTAAACCGCGACGGCAAATTATTTTAATTTCCATTTGGAACTTAACGGCTACTTTATACGTCATGCTGAAGTTGAGCTGTGGCGCTGTATGAGACAGTAAGCTCCTGCAGCCGTTTTTCAAATTCTAACTAAGAGTAGAAATTCATTTTTTAATCGAAGTCTTCCTTGGCGTCGCCGTCGTGGTTTCTTAAGGTCCCTATTATCTACCGATAGATGGTCATACTGACCCATTCATTCAATCATTCGCGTGGACAAGAAGAGTTCGAGCAGAATCGCTGTGTACACCTATTTGCACGAGCAGTTTTTACACTTCTTCCAACCTGAAAATCTCCGACATTAGATTACGAAAGGTTAAACCTTTCACAGGTTAGTGCACCGTGTCATGACTGATTCATTCTTATTACACGACTCGGGCAGTCAGAGGGCCAATAACTAAAATCAACCAATCAAAATGCTCTATTGCCGGTCAATATTCTCTCAGTATTGGACCGGGCACTGTCCCGAATGGACCCGAATGATACCGCACTTGTGTCCCTTTGCACTTCAGTCGTGTAGTAAATCTCTTATTAACCAAGCTTACTCGGGACCGTACTGGAAGAATATCGGCCCTCGGTCTTTTTTGTACGGACCTCGCTGCGCTCGGTCCGTACTGTCAAGACCTCGGGCCGATATTCTCCCAGTACGACCCTCGCACTTGGTTAATAAGATATATATATAGCCCATACTGGATATATTCGGCTAATTATGTCATATATGGTTTGCTCGATTGTTCGGTAACAAAGACGTTATGCATGCTTGCATCCTACTGATGTACCAGTCGACAGATTACGCTAGCTATGATCACGTTATGTAATTTGTGTCGATACTGCAGAGATTTTGAACTTTTCATTGATCCAGCGCGTACACAACTGGGAGATGACTGAACTGATTTGTGCAACAGTGATAAACGAAGAAGATGGAAGCGCAAGTGAGCCCCTCAGGATACCAACAAGTCCGAAAGAAGGTAAAACTATTTGCGCCTGTCATGAATGAAAGTCATCGAATATGTTACAGATGCTTTTTTCTAATTATTATTTTCGTGGCTGTGACTTGATTCGTACGTTTGTTTGTCTATTTGTTTGTTTGTCTGTTTGCATGTTTTTTGATTTTTTTTTTCGTTCAAAAAGGCTTGAATACTATGCAATTCCGGTCCGGCACTCGTGTCATGCATCACCATATCATTGAGACAGCCCGGTTG